CCTCTGAAGCATGGGTACCAGTACTCAGGGTAAGTAAGCGTATAAATGCACATCCAGGCTCTAACCCATACATAAAACACTATTTTGGCCTGGCACAGTAGCTCATCATGCCTATAATCTCAGCACTTTGAGAGGCTAAGGTGGGCAGATCACCTGAGGTCAGGAGTTTGAGACCAGTCTGGCCAACATGGTGAAACCTCATCTCTACTAAAAATACAAAAAATTAGCTGGGTGTGGTAGCACACATCTGTAATCCCAGCTACTCAGAAGGCTGAGGCAGGAGAATGGCTTGAATCTGGGAGGTGGAGGTTGCAGTGAGCCCAGTTTAGGCCACTGTACTCCAGCCTGGGCAACAGAGCAAGATTCTACCTCGAAAAAGAAAAAACACTATTTTGGAGAACCCCAGAGGCACAACAGTGCTTCTCAACCAGGGCAATGTTTGGCCCTCTGCTGGGAAGGGGAAGGGAGGATCAAGCATTGCCTGGACACATTCATGGTTGTTGCAATGGAGGCAGGGGGTACTGCTGGCATCTAGTGAGTAGAGGCCAGGGATGCTGCGAAACAGCCTCCAATGCACAGGCCCAGCACCCCCATGACAAAGAATAAGGGAAGCCCAATATGCCAAGGCTGAGAAACCCTGCTCTATATAACTTGACTATTGTTAGTACTTCTGTGGTCAAAGCAGAAATACTCCATGTCTAATGCTGTGGACGGCCAGACATTTGCCAGAATTGTACAAGGAGTAGTTGGGTCAGAGCTTTGTTTTTAGGCTTGGAGGATTTGCTTTTCTAAAAAAAAAAAAAAAAAGGTTGGGGGGGGCACTATTCAAACAGGGTACAGAAGGGTATATGGTAAAAAGTAAGTTTCCTTTCCACTCCAGCCCTAAAGCAGCCAGCTCCCTTCTGAAGAAGGCAACCACTGTGAGCGGCTTCTTTCCTGTTCCTCCAAAGGTATTCTAAGCACACAGCACAAGTGTATGGATGACCTCTTCCTCTGCCCACTGCCCCCCACTCCAACTGGCAGCATACTCTGTCTACTGCTTTGTAATTTACTTTTTCACAATATCATGGAGATCATTCCATTCCAGCACACATACATCTGTCTCATTGTTCAACAGCTAAACAGGACACAATATGGTGTACTCAAAGACAATAACGTTGTTTCCAACATTCTGCTGCAGGAAATAATTTTGTTCACTGCCTCTGGGCTATACATTCCAGGGAAACTGGAAAGCAAGTTCCTAGAAGAATTCCTGGATCATAGATACAAACCTTTGAAATTTTGATGGAAATTTTTGAGTAAAATAATAATAAAAAAAATAATATGGAGATGAGTTACTCAAGTGCTCTATTTAGATGCTTTAATAACTGTGGATATTCCAGTTATACAGCATACAGCTCATATGCTAATCATAAAAGATTGGTCACAGGAAGCATCTACAAGCAGATAGTTCCTTTTATGACTTACTTTTTAACCTTGGGGAACCAGGATAATAAAAACTACAGAGGTCAAAAGATAGTAACAAGGAAAGAATGGAAAAAAAAGATAGTTAACAAGTGTTGGTGAGAATGTGGAGAAACAGGAATTCTCATGCATTGCTAGCAGAAATGTAAAATGGTGCAGTCACTTTAGGAAACAGTTTGGCATTTCCTCAAAATGTTCAACATAGTTACCATATGATCCAGCAATTCCACTCCTAGGTATACACCCAGGAGAACTGAAAATATGTATGTCTGTCCAGGCACAGTGGCTCATGTCTTTAATCCCAGTACTTGAGGAAGCCAAGGTGGGTGGATTATGAGGTCAGGAGTTCAAGACCAGCCTGGCCAAGATGGTAAAACCCCCGTCTCTACTAAAAATACAAAAATTAGCTGGACGTGGTGGTGGGTGCCTGTAATCCCAGCTACTCAGGAGACTAAGGCAGAGAATTGCTTCAACCTGGGAGGTGGCGGTTGCAGTAAGCCGAGATCACGCCACTTCATTCCAGCTTGGGCAACAACAGAGTGAGTCACCAAACAAACAAACAAACAAATAAACAAAAAACCTATGTCCATCTTCAAAGGAAGACAAATTAGGTAGCCAAAAACAAAAAACTATGCCCATCCCATTCCAGCAGGTACAGCTAAAAAAAAAAAAAAGAAAATATGGCCAGGCATGGTGGCTCATGCCTGTAATCCCAGCACTTTGGGAGGCCGAGGCAGGTAGATCTCAAAGTCAACAGATTGAGACCATCTGGGCCAACATGGTGAAACCCTGTCTCTACTAAAAACACAAAAATTAGCTGTGCATAGTGGCATGCGCCTATAGTCCCAGCTACTGGGGAGGCTGAGGCAGGAGAATTGCTTGAACCCGGGAGATGGAGGTTGCAGTGAGCCAAGATCACACCACTGCACTCCAGCCTGACTCCGTCACACATACACACACACACAAACATATATATTCACATACAAACCTCTAAATAAATGTTCCTAGCAAGCATTATTTATAATAGTCAAAAGGTAGAAACAACCCAAATGTTCATCAACTAACAAATGGATAAACAAAATATGGTATATCTGCACAATGGAATATTATTCAGCCATAAAAAGAATAAAGTATTGATAGATGCTACATTACTCTTGAACCTTGAAAAAATTACGCTGAGTAAAGGAAGTCAGTCACAAAAGGCCACATACTGTAGTATTCCATTCATAATAAATGTTCAGAAAAGGCAAATTCATTGAGCTAGAAAGTAGATTGACTGTCAAAGATGGGAAGTGGGGGATGAGGGAGGGAGAATGGGGAGTGACTACCAACGAGTTTTTTTTTTTTTTATAAGACAGAGTCTTGCTCTGTCGCCCAGGCTGGAGTGCAGTGGCACGATCTTGGCTCACTGCAACCTCTGCCTACGAGGTTCAAGCAATTCTCCTGCCTCAGCCTCCCAAGTAGTTGGGACTACAGGCACCCGCCACCATGCCTAGCTAATTTTTGTACTTTTAGTAGAGATGAGGTTTCACCATAATGGCCAGGCTGGTCTTGAACTCCTGATCCACCCACCTCAGCCTCTGAAAGTGCTGGGATTCCAGGTGTGAGCCACAGTGCTCAGCCCAGGGGATTCTTTTTAAGGTGATGAAAATGTTCTGAAATTAGTGATGGTTGCCCAACTCTGAATATGATAAGACCACTGAATGGTACATTTAAAAGGGTGAATTCTATCCCAATAAAGCTGTTACTAAAAACAAATATAAGGAAAACACCTGGCATACCATAGCTACTCATTACAACTTCCAAAGCCTCTTTTGGAAAGAGATAAGCTAAAACTCAGGGTAGCCTAAGCTGTTTTAGGTGGATAAAATATTTTCAACAGAACTTACTGGTTCATTGTTTTGTGTGTTTTTTTGAAAGTGTACAATTCAGTGGTATTAGTGTATCACAATTGGTATATTGGTTCAATTCTCAACATTTTAGAACCTGTAAATCAGTAAGTTGATTAACAAATCTATTGAATACCCCATTCGGAGTCATTTCTAGGTATTCGGGGAAGTAAGGAGGGAAGCACAGTCCTCATCCTCAAGAAACCCAAACCATTCTTAGGAAGAGAAGACATGCAGCGAAGACGTCAGCATATAACGGACCTTCAGAGACAGCAAAGAAAACGATCTCCATGGAGAAACAGGAGTTCTAGACTGGGTTTTCCCCAGTATTTAACAGACAGAAAATTCTGGTTTTCATAGGAAAAAAAGGATAAAGAAGTGAGTAAAAACAGATTGAATGTATATATTTTAAAAACTCCACAAAACTATCGGGTCACAAAATGACTCAAGAAGCAATATTAAAGGGCAAAGCCAATCATTCACCATGAGTGTTGATGACCATCTGAGGTGAACATTAGCGTCCTAACACTTAACGAACACGTCACTTGTCCCTGTTCCAGCCGGGGCCACGCCCTAGATGTCTTTCTAGTCCCACAGTCCTAGTGCAGAGTCTTGCACATAATCAAATGAATGAATGTCGTCATCATCCTTAAACACAACAGACACAGGACAGGTCTTGCTACATCCAGGCAGAAGCTCTTGCTGCTTCTCTGAAGTGTGTGTCACAGTATGGAAATCAATTTCTTGACTCCTACATCAAGTTGCTACTTGATTAGTATCTTTTATAATGGTAACAAATGAAAACTCAAAATGTAAACAAAAGGGAGACACCATGGCACCGTGGTTAAAAGCACAGCTCTGGAGTCAGACAGATCTGGTTTTGGGGTTACCAGCTATGTGACTTTGGTCAAGAGACTTCACTCCTCTGAGTCTGTCTCCTCATCTGTAAAATGGAATGCAATTACACAAAAGCAGCACCTAACAATAGGGTCTTGTGAGAATTAAGTGACATTTGTTGAGGGTTTACTGTGTGTCCTCAGAAAACAGTTGGCTGGCATTATGAAGACTGGGAACTCTCACAAATCAGGAAGTTCTAAAAGAGGTCACTTTTCCCCATCCTCATTGTCTTGGTCTTCTTTGCAAAGGCCTCTGGGTCTAGCAGTGCCTGGAATAGACCAGGAGCTGACAGGCTGGCAACGGACCTTTGCTGAATGACCCAAGGAATTAGGATACAGGTGCACGGCAGACCTGGGAGACAGCAAATAAAAACCACAAGTGGGAAGGCTTTCCAGAGTTCACTTGGAGACCGGCTTGAGGAACACTGGCTGTACCTAAGACCTAGTTATTTGGTTAGCCCAGAAATTGTTCTGAACGACATCTGAGGGTACAATGACCTCACACCTCACTGTCTACATTGTCATATAAATTCACACTATGAGTCTAAACAGGTTTTGCTTACCATTTAGAGGGGTTAAACAGCATCAGAGGAGGTTCAAATATATAAACTGAAACTGGTCAAAAAAGAATAGCCACATTTCAGAAAATATACCATTGGTGAGCTTTTTGCCGTGATAAGGCTAATATTTTTTAAAAGGAGGCACAGTGAATTTAAGACATTGACATTTATAGCCGTAGCTCGACGCTTACTCTTGGAGGCCCAATTATCATCCCTGTCCATCTTGTAAGTGTCATGTCTTCGTCATCTTCTAGACCCCAGCTAACTGTGCCATCTCCTACTCCTTTCTGGCCTTCTTCGAGTTCTTCCAACAGTCGGAAATTGCGAGGGACTTTTACTCCTAAAATAAATGGAAAGAAATTCAAGATACCAGCAACTCCAGGGGAACTTGTAAGCCTAGAGCTAGCTGCTCATTATCACTCCCTGGGAATAAAGATGCTGACATGCAAAATCATGGAAAGTTATCACACCTCTAACTTGCCACTTATAAAGTTATCAGTATCAACCAGCACAACCAGAGGGAAAGAGCACATGGTTCTGTGACAGGTGAAGTGACCAGGGCTAGATAACCAAACTTAGAAACCCACTGCCACCCCTTGGACAAATCTCGTAAGGGGCTTACATGTCCAAATGTCGATTAAGTGGGGTCAACCAGTTTGAGATGAAAACCATCAATATCAAGTGCTAACAAAAGCACCCTGCAAGACAAGTGACTAAGAGTATGACTATTTGCTGGCATGACTCTCAAACAGCCTTTAGGAGGAATAGTCGCCATGGATATGGCAAATAAAAATGGTATCCTCTTAATCAACTAAGAGTCAACTGAAGGTACGAAGGATAAAATTTTCTATTGTTTTTCAGTTATTTAAGCAATAGTTTACCTTTTAACTTACAAAAAAGCTAAAAGGGAGTAGCTGGTTCTCTAATTTGTTTCCAAAAATCCCAAAGCCTGGCAAGTAGCTCTTGAAAGCAATGCATGAAAACATCTCATAGGTTCAAGCCACAGTCCCGGGTTCAGGCTGAGGCTTGAGCCATTTCTAGGTATCTTCCAGAACAGAACCTGGGTACTAGGGCCAGACAAGGGAGGGGAGTATGGTAGGGGAGAGAGATGAACTTTCTTCCTGTGCTTGGGGAACAAGTAATCTCTCCTAGGGTTGCTCTCCCAACCAATCCTGCCTGTCTCTCCTTCCTCCCCCATTTTCCTCAGCATATGCACTATTTTCTCTAGAAAAAACTCAGGATCCAGTTGAGTTTCAAGCTCTCTGCCTTAAATGCTGCGTTCTCAATTGGCCAGACTCTCAGAGACAAATAGGACTAACCATGTGACTGTGAAGAGTCTCACTGAAGGGACCCCAGGTTGTGGGAGGTGTTGCCAGTATATGTATTTCCCCAAGTGTAGGATACATGCCATTAATTCCATTGGAATAAACATTTGAGCACCTATTATACATCAGACACTTTTCTAAGCACTGAAGAACAAGCAGTGAATAAAACAAAAATGCCTGCCCTCATGCAGCTTATATTCTAGTTGGAGATATATAGTGGACAAAAATCAATATGTAAATTATGTAGTATGACAGATCCTGGTGTTCTGGAGCAGGGAGTAATAGGGGAGGGACTGTAATTTTAAATGGAGGGATCAAGGAAGAGTGCAATCAGGTGTCATAACGGAAGACCTGAAGAAGGTGAGAGGGCATGATTTATGGATAGCTGAGGGGAAAGTCTTTGAGACAGAGTGAATAGCAAGTGCAAAGTCTAAAACAGAAAGAAGCTTGCTTAGGGTGTCAAAGGACAGCAAGGAGGCCAATTTAGCTCAAATCAAGTGAGGAAGATGAGCAAGCAAGAGCAGATTAAGGATGCCAACTGTTACTGAGTGACATGATCTGACTTGTTTTTAATAGGATCCCTCAGACTGCTGTGTGAGGAAGAGAGTGAAGGGAGCAAGGGCAGAAGCAGCTAAGAGGCTGCTGCGGTAACTCTAGCAAAAGATAATACCACTTGGACCAGGGTGATAGCAGGAAAGGGTGTGGAACAGCATAATTCTAGGCATTTTAGAGGTTTGAGCTGTCAAGATTTGCTATCAGGTTGTCTGTGAGGTGTAAGAGAGAAGAGTCAACTATAGCTAAAAGGTTTTTGGTCTGAGCAACTTAAGGACAGAGTTGGTAGAGGTACATTAGACCACTTTAGGTGGTATGTAATTGAACACTTCATTTTATAGTCATGTATGTTTAAGAATAACTTATTTAGGGTAAGTAATATACTAACTTCCCATTTATAATAATGGTAAAAGTTTCCTTTTAAAATAAATGTAAGTGGCCAGGCGCGGTGGCTCAGGCCTGTAATCGCAGCACTTTGGGAGGCTCAGGTGGGCAAATCGGGAGGTCAGGAGATCAAGACCATCCTGGCTAACAAGGTGAAACCCAGTATCTACTAAAAATACAAAAAATTAGCTGAGTGTGGTGACAGGTGTCTGTAGTACCAGCTACTCGGGAGGCTGAGGCAGGAGAATTGCTTGAACCTGGGAGGCAGAGGTTGCAGTGAGCCAAGATCATGCCACTGCACTCCAGCCTGGGTGACAGGGCAAGACTCTGTCTCAGAAAAAAAAAAAAAAAAAAGTAAGCAAGAGAGCCAGTTGACTGCAAGAAAAATATTAAATAGTACTACACGCGGCATTTGAAAAGAAACAGCAAAAACCTGCAAGCACACTTGAATTGCTTGTTTGGAAATTACTTGTCATTTTCATCTGCAGAGTAGCCAATTGGATTATTCAATTCTGCTGGATCAAGTCTCCTCTTGCAAACATAAAACTGAAAGATAGTGGTGGATTATAGGCAAAAAGCCAGACTACACAATTATTATTCAAAAGAGTTCAATCTAAATATTTAATAATCCTAATTAGGCTGGTGGGGGGGAGTCACTGTGCATTACTACTGGTTAATTTATAAGCCTGCACTAAATAAAAATGAAGATCAAAAGAGCACAGAATCATATTGTTAGGGAGGCTGATGACTGAGGTACCTGTTCATAGATGGTGTTATGGGCTCAACTGTATCCCCCTCAAATTTATATATTGCAGTCCTAATTCCCAGTACCTCACAATGTGACAAAACCTGCTGACATCTTGTCCTGGACTTCTAGTTTCCAGAGCTGTGAGAAATTTGTTTAAGCCCCCCCAACCCAGTCTATGGCATCTTGTCATGACAGCACTAGCAAACTCATACAGATGATAAGTGGCATCTTAAGAAACATATCAGAATTGGTAAGGATACAGAACCTCTTGTCTTCCTCTATCTCCCTGGACACGCACATAGTTTACTATGGCATGTATTCCAACTGCAATGCTCTATTCCTATATGTGTATTTTTTTCTTTTTCTTTTTTTGAGACAGAGTCTCACTCTATCACCCAGGCTGGAGTGCAGTGACACGATCTCAGGTCACCGAAACCTCCACCTCCTGGCAGAGCCACCGCCCTTGGCCAGTCATGATCTTAAACTAGGCACCCTCACTCTCCTACTGGAAGCCCACTCTTGGCCTCCCATTGCAGCCCCAAACTTGTCACCTGGCCAACAGAGCCCCACCTGCTTTGCCAACACCATTTTGTGCCACTCTGCCTTGCTCCCCTATCCTCCTCCGGCCACCAGTCCTTCTTTAAGTTTCTGAGGCGACATTCCTACTTCCTGCCTTTGCATTTGCTAGTCCCTCACCCTGGAATTCTCTGTCCCAGAGCTGTGAATGGCTGACTGGTGCCCTTACTGTCCATCCCCTTAACCTTGCTTTATTTTTCTTCATAGCACTCACTGCAACTTGACATTGTAAATACATTCATTTCCACTTTATTAGTTGTTTACTGCGTCTCCTATCTGAACTTAAGCTCCATGAGAGTAAAACTTCATATGTTTTGTTCACTGCCAACTCTCCAGTGCCTCAGGTGCTTTGCCCTCTAGAGTAAGCACTTGAATACTTATTGAAAGAATGAATGAGGCTGGGAGCAGTGGTTGAGAGGAGATGGTAAAAATGCCCAGATGTTGGATAGATTTGGAGATGGGTTGGATATGGGGCATAAGGGAAAGACTTGTCAAGACTCCAAGATTTTTGGCCAGAGCAGTATTTGTGCCATATACTGAGCTTGAGGAGTGGGTAGTTTTTGTTTTTGTTTTTTTTTTTTTTTTTGAGGAAGAGTGAAAGGGGATTCTGTCTTGGAGGTGTTTTAAATGTGAGAGGCCTATTAGGCATCTAAATGGAGATGTCTAAGAGGCAGTTGATTGGGAATATAAATTGGAGAGTTGTCAGCTTACTCAGAGCCTTGGAGAATGGAGCAGACAGAAGACCTCAAAGGTGGACTGTGCCCTGAGGCCTGGCCACCAGAGTCTGGAGGTCCAGGAGGTGAGGCAGAACAGCCGGTGAGAAGAGAAGCGGAGGCTCAGGGAAGCAAGAATAAAAGAAGTGATCAGATGCTGCCCAAAGCTCCAGTACTAGGTTGGGAGCTGAGAATTGACTGCGGGATTTAGAGGGTGCTCCTCAGTGCCCTGACTGAGTGACTCGGTGGAATAGCTTGATGGGAATAGGTGCAGGTAAGGTGAAGAATCCAGACAAGGGGTCTAGACAGCTGTTTCTGAAGTGTGTGTTTTTTTTTTTTTTTTTTTTTTTTTTTTTTTTTTTGCTACTAAGCAACAAAGAAATTAGACAGTAGCTGGAGGGGGATATAGGGTGAAGGTTTTTCTGTTTTATGATGGATAATACAATTTGCTGATGGAGATGATTCAGCAGCAAGCTTACTGTGTGCCAGGTATTCTATAAAGGGCTTTCCAGATCTTACCTCATGTATTCTCCCTTGCCACCTGTGGAGGCAGGCGTGCTGTGATTCCTGCTTGACTCAAGTTCAAGGTGACTTGCTCAGGCACAAAGCTAGACTGCTAGAGAGTTGTGGAGCCAGAACTTGATCTTTGGTCTATGGTCTAATCCTCCACTAAAAGATAAGGAATTTTCTCTAAAATAGGTCTGGCATGGTGGCAGATGCCTGTAATCGGGAGGCAGAGGTTGCAGTGAGCTGGGATTGTGCCACTGCACTCTAGCCTGGGCAAAAGAGCGAGACTCCATCTCAAAAAAAAAAAAAAAAAAAAGAAAGAAAAAAGAAAGAAAAAGAAAAAGAATGAATGATGGCTACATATTAGCTAGTAATAGTATTTCAGAATGAACAACTCTTAATGTCACAAAATTCTAATTCTGGTTTATTTTTGAAAATACAAGAGGGCAATATTCACAACATCATTAATAGGGAGTTTAATATAAGGATTAGCAAAGGGGCTTGGTATGAATTTTAAAGGGCAAGAAAAATTATA